CTTAACCTTTTAAGAATATGTCCTTAAGAAGATTTTTCAAAATTCAAATTATTTTCGGAGATATAGCTGTTTTAGTGACGCGGCTTCCTATATCCTACCCTTATTATGCGAAACTTTGAACGCGTTTTTCTCGAAACTGTTTTTTTTGTCACGGTTGCAATGATATCTCAAGTTCTACTTAACCGATTTATTTGAAATTTGGTGAGAGTCTTCTCTATGCATTTCTCTATCGTACTAATCAAACCTCTTACAACAATTTTCAATTTCTACTATTTTGAAAAAATTCGGAACAGTAAAGAAGTGGTAAAAATAATGTATCTTTTTTTCAGACAGCCGTAATTTAGTGAAAAAAAAATTTTTTTCAATTCTTTTAGTTCGAACGATAGCGGCATTATTCTTAATTAATAATCTTTTTTATTTTTTTATTTCGGATTATTAGAAGAGCTGCAATCGTGACAACCGTCGAGCACCAATTTTTTGAGACCCCCCACTTCATCAGCCTATATATTTTTCAATTTTGAATTTTTTCACTATTTTTTTTTTTTCATGTATTCTTGAAATATTAATAAATATCTTGTAACATTATAGATAGTAAAAATATTATTCGTCTTTTTGTTATTGCACTTGAAAAAGTACCTAAAATCCATGCTTCTAGACCAGAATACCCCCTTAAAATCATTGTTAAATCAGAGCTGCGGTTACCAATACTTCTCCCTTGAATCAAACCTTCCTCAATCCACCCTCTTTACCGTACGCTTTTTGCCAGATTTTATCACTGTTTAAACGAGAAACGAACCAGCCTAGTCTCGGTTAAACTCGGTGAATGCAGAGTGACCATAAACAGGCATTACTTATACTACTTATTTAAATTCGTCCTCTAGGACGTAACAAGAGGCCTAATGCCGAAAAGGCCCCCACTTAATTGTGGCTGAAGAGGGCAACTACAGGCTACTGAATTATTTTCAAAGGTTCAACACATCATGCTCGAACCTTTCACAGTCTTTTACAACGCCACGAGAAGAAATTAATTATAAATAATTTCAAAAGAGTAAGGAGTTTGGCCGATAGTGGCGACGCGAGCGGTTGGCCGAGGAACTAGGCAGGACGGTCTTATGGAGCCTCGGCAACGTGTTCGGAACGAGTAAAAGACGTAACGAGTAACGAGCAACGAAGGTGCCACCAAAGAAGGGATGGTGATGACGGAACATTCGAGGTCGAATGTTGTTGTTGTAGGGGGGGTGGAATGTGGGACGAACGCCTCCATGCCAAACTTGTTAAGCATTCGTGGAAGGGAACTGGTCGGTGGACCCTGGATAGCTCAATCGGTTAAAGAGCAGTCTCCCGGAAAGCGAAAGATCCGTGGTTCGAGAGTCTCGGTCCAGTCAGTCCAGCGGTCCAGTTTTTTTCACGAATCTTACATATATAATTAAATAATTATTAGTATTAGTAGAATAGACTATTTTATTGATTATACTTTAAATAATTGTTAATTAATCGAAAGAAAAATGTATATTATTTAAGATCATGAATTATATAAGATGTTTATACTATCCTTCTTGAAAACAAACGTTAGACTAGCATGTTTGTTGTTTACGTGATATTCCTAATAAAGGCACATTATGTGTATAAGAAAAAATAATATTCGAGAAATTAATAGAATTTATTGTTGTAAAAGTTATATAAACAATAATCAATTAAAAAAAAATTTGATTGATTTTTATAAAGACAATTTTGAACGTTGAATTTAAATAAGAACGTTAAATCAAACTTATAATAATGTGTTTTAAAATTACAATATAAATTTTCTTTGATTAATTAACAATTATTTGAATGTATACGTCAATAATTCTTCAAGTATGTCACACATCTTCCATAAAAAATAAAAAAAACTCATTACTTGGTTATAACATGCAATTACAATTAATTATTTTATGCAATAAATGAAATGAAATATTTCAACGGTGACACGTGTATTACACTGTGTAAATTTTAAGTGTAATGAAAATAAAAGAAATTATTTGAAAAAATGATCAAAATATTACAGAAACGAGATTTAAAAGGTTTATATTGTTTTATTTGTATTATAATATTAACTTTTTTTATTTGTTTTTATACGAAACTTCATTTTTTATTTAATATAATGTGATACAGAAATAATTTGTATAAATGACATGTAATATACAAATGGTCATAATTAAGATTCTCATAAGAATTGTATTATATTTAACAATAAACGATTGATGATAAATATTTTGAAGAACTGATGATGAAAACAAAAAGAAAGTAGATAAGAAGGAAAAATTAAAAAGAAAATATGAAGTAATTTAAGTATACACTTTTAAGGGGGTATTCTACTTTAGTCGCTCGAAAAAATAGGTATTTTTGTCAATTTTTTATTAGAAAACTAAGAAAGATATTGATGTAGGATTTGCTGTGCCTAATAAATATACTCTTAAAGTACATTAAAAAATTTTTTTTATTTATTTTATACGCTCTATATACATTGGAAAGGCCCTTGAACTGAACGCCTAAAAATAGTCTAGCCTTTGCGCTGTTGTAAGAATCTGGACATCGAATTATCTGAAATGAAAAACTCGAATAGTTTTATGTTCACAAAGACTACATCAACCGGTGGTAGCAGATTTTTTCATTTACATGCAAAAATAACAAAATGGCGTTAGTTGAAAAAAAATCTCATTTTTTTTCTCATTTCTTGCCAAAAAAAAAATAGTTAAAATGAAAATTTTTTTATAAATCTGCTACCACCGGTTGATATATGTGTATAGATTATGTGGTAAAAATTTTATACGAATCGAATAGCTAGTTTTGGAGATTTTTACAACACGCGGTTCAAAAATGTGATTCCGAGAAAAACGCATTTAAAGTTTTTTTAAGTACTTTTTTTACCCGCGCACGGGTAGATTCGAGGGACGAAAAAGTACAGTTAGGATGCTCTGATCGTTTTGAAATTTTCAAAGAGTATTCTTAAATATATTTACTTACGAATAATCGAAAAAAAAAAATTTGAAAAAAAAAATTACAAAGTAGAATACCCCCTTAAGTAGTAGCTTTGTTTTTGGTTTATTATATTTTAATTTTATTTTTATGTATTTTTCTTTTTTTTTTTTTAAAACCTTATTACTTATTTAATAAGATACACAATATAATAAAGATATAGATAGATAAAAAAAATTATTCTTATAAATAACATATTTATATATAAATTGTTACTATGATAAGAAATTAAAGTCTGTTTAGGAATTTTATGTCTAAATTATCTAACTTACAACATAATTTTGTTATTTTTCTTCTTTGATATCTTCTTGTATTTTCCTCAAACATTTGACGAAATAAAGGGTTTCCAAACTTATATGAATTTTTTATATTTTCGTAAGTTTTTTCTTTTAAGGTAATAGACAAGTGAACAAAATCCAAATTCATCAAGTTAACATTTTCTTTTGACATTTTATAAGGGTTTGTACAATTTACTGTTCTACTTATACTCAATTGTTGAAACGGACACATGTAGCTATGGAATTTTCTATCTTCGCAATACAGACAACCACTATTTTTAAATAGCTTTAAATTACTTGGATAACTTTCGTAAAAAGCATTGCTAGAATGCCATACTTCTTCTGCCTTTTCGACAGCTTCTACAATGGAATATTGGTGGGCTTTTGAAAGTAATACTGTCTTTGTTACTTCATCGTTTCTAAGTTTTTCTATAAAAGTCATTTTACCTATTATTCTCATATATACCATGTCACAATGTTCAAATTTCTTCTTCTCTTCTTCATTATTTTGAGCTTCGTTAAATTTTTCTTCGCAGTATCGTAATAGAGTTAATATTCTTTTTCCAAATCTTATAGGATTTTCATATATCTTCTGATGTTGAATAGACAATTCAATGTAATAGCTTGATGTATTTTTCAATGAATAATCATTCTTCAATTTCAATATTATATCATCGTAATATAAATCTGCATCATTTAATTTATCAGCAGCTTCACCACTAATTTTCGTACGAATAATATTGGTCAATGCTTGAACATCTAATTTATTTATCTTATCGTAAGCATCTTTGCATGATTTAATAAATCTATCCGGGTCTATATTTTGACCATCAAAATGATGAATATCTCGTGCTGCCTGTTCTACCGTCAAAAAATTATTTCCAATAGTATAATTTTGATCAACTTCATTTAGATTAAATAATTCAAAAAACCGTGAATCTGCAAATGAACGTGGATATTGTTCACTAAATATGTCAACTCCGGTATATGCCATTTTAACAAATATTAGTTGTATTTATTTTAACTTTTAGAATTCAACAAGATGATTTTTTTTTCATAAACGATTTTACACACAAATATGAGATAAAAAAATTCTATTAATATCAAACACTTGTACACTAATACAAATTATAACTGTATAACTTATTTTCACACTATATTAATTTGATAATTTTATAAATATAATAAATGATGAGAATTTGACACGTGGATAGAGAACACAAGGTTGGAAATGATTTTTACTAGTTGCTGGTTAGAAAAGTAAGGCCGAGAAATCTACAATAGCTCGCCGTTTTAAGGGTTTATAATGTATAAAAGGAAATAGTAGGGGAAGAATTCTGACCAATTGTAAGTATCGTTGAAATAGTTGAGTGGGAAAGATGATCTAAGCGTGACTTAAGGAAACTATAAAAAGTATTTTTTCTATTGAATAGCTGGGGACTATCCCAAAGATATATTTTTAGAATAGGACAATGCATCCATCCGTTCGTTTTCTTCAGGAATTACAAAAATTCCATTCAACTTTTAAGTTAGTCTACTACCTGAGTGAGAGTGGAACGGAATTTCTATCTTTCCTGACCATGTTTCGGACACATGGTTGAAAATATAAAATATTCAACACGATTCATTCAAAAAACGTTTAAAATTGAGAGGAAAATAAATCAAGAATGTAAGGTCGATCAAATTCATTTGTTAAAAATATTCATTTATTTATACAATAAAAATTGTCGGTAATGGGTGTGCCGGTGCACACGGCGATATGCGGTCCGTGCATAACTTATCGACAGGGTAATGATGTGGACGCGCCCTTCGGGCTTGGTTGGGCATTCTTTTGTCTTAGGGCTTAGGTCCCTTTTGTCTTCCCTTCGTTCTTTCTTATTCTTTATCTGTACGTCGTTTGAGTAACACGTGGAAGTACAAGCTCTCTCAACTATTGCGTTAACTTACTAACAAAAATTGTCAGCTTCAGATTGAAGAAATAAATTTTGTATAAATTTAAATAAAAAAAAAAAAACAATAGATTAATTCGTTTGATAATTTTTAGCCATAGCTTTGAGATCTTTTCTTGAAATTTTTCCGGATGCCGTATAAGGCATAGTTTCTAAAAATTTCACACCAGCTCGTAAATGATATCGATCAGTCATATTTTTTGCAACAAATTCTTGAAGTTCTCGTTCGGTTACCTAAACATTGATCATAATTAATGTTAGAAAAGTATTGAAAATTATTAGATTATTTTTTTCTAATTTATTTTCTTATTTTTCCCAATAAACTTTCGTACCTTCGAATCGGGAACTTTGATTACAAATGCTATGGGGTGTTCATCATCCTCAAGATGAGGTACACCCACCACCACAACATCGACAACATCGGGGTGTGTTAGTAAAAAACTTTCGATTTCATGAGGTGACATTTGATGACCTTGATACTTCATAGTTTCTTTCAATCTACCCATAATAAAAATTTCACCATTTTCGTCGTAATATGCTAGATCACCTGTATGCAACCATCCTGTAATTATGATAGTTAATTAAAGTAAAAAACTTCAAATAGGTTTTGTTTGTTAGATTGTTTTTATATTTTTTAATTCATTTTACCATCAGCATCTATAGCATCCTTGTTAGCTTGTGGATTATTGTAATAACCATTCATCATTGTTATAGATTTAGTCAAAAGTTCACCCGTCTTATTTGGACCCAATGGTTTTCCATTTTCTAAATCGATAATCTTAATTTTAGAATTTTCTAAGACCGTTCCAATGCTACCTGCTTTGTGATTAGGTTTTGTAGTTGTTACAATACCACCAAGTTCGGTCATTCCTAAGAAAAATCTTATTATTTATTACATTAATTTTTCTTTAGATCTTTAAATAAATATAATAATAATTTATATATTTACCAAACATTTGTATGATATCGGCATTAGGCATACATTTTTTAACTTGACATTCACTTTGCTCGGTAAATATATTTCCACTGATATTCATTTTAGTAACACTGGATACGTCATATTTTTTAAAATAACCAGATCTTAATATTCTATTCACCATACTAGGTGACATAAAAACCCATGTAACCTTTAAAATCAATAATTTATCTTTTAACATATTACAAAAAATATACTACTATATAAATGTAATTGAGAGATTACATTTTGAAACATTTGCGTCTATTATTATTAATAATCTTTTCATTAATTTACACTTTCTGATCCTACCTTATACTTTTCGATAATTTTACACGCCATTTCTTCTTCGAATTTAGGATAAAATAGTTTAACGCGATAATTGGCAGTACAACCCAACGTTAATAAGACACCGGTTATCCAAAAGTATTGTGAGAACCATAATGGAATTCCTTCGGCGTTAAAACCATCTGGCGAAAGTACATTGCACAAAAATGCATAATGCGAGATTAGAACTGCTTTAGGTGGACCAGTTGTACCAGACGAATAAAGAAGTGCAGCTGAATCGTTTACGTTATCTATTTGTGTACATTCGAAATTATTCACATCTAAATTGCAATTACTATTGAGAATTTTTGAATAGGGTATTGCATTCGAAGATTCACCAAATACAACGATTTTGATATCATGATTTTCTAACTTAGCAGCTTCCAATATTTTATCCACCGAGTTTTCATTCGCAAAAACTATCTTGGCACCAGATAATTTCATGTAATAACGTGTCTCACCTAAAACAGACAAAACATTGTTCTTATTGCTTAATAATGTTTAAAAAAACATTCAAGAATACTCACGTATATCCATTTCTGGATTCCATGGTGTAAATATTGCACCAACGCAAAAACTTGCAAATAATGGTGCAAAACTTTCAATAGTAATCGAAGTGCATACAGCTATTACATCATCTCTTTTGATTTCTTGTTGACGCAACCATTGTGCACATTTTACAGTATAATCATACATTTTAGAAAATGTATACGTTTCTTCGGTTATCACATTTATCTGTTGTGATGAAGTATAAACGAAAAAATAATATTTTTTATTATGTCAATTCATTAATAAATGATTGATCTATCAAAAATCGTCTCATTCTAATTCAAAATAGTGCATTATCATAGCTGCTTATTAAAATGATGAAATAAACATTGATATAAATTTTACTAAAAAATAAACAGACGATTGTGTGTTATATTACTATCTTATCTATTAATACACTTTTAATCTCGAGTAACGTAATAATCCTAATTTTCCGATAATGCACTCAAAAAAATATTGAAACGTTTCAATAAAACAAGAAAGCAATTTTTTTCAAAATTATTTATACTTTATGTAATAGAGATTGTTAAACTTACCTGTCCAACAAAATTGGGTTTAGCTTTCATTCTATCTAAAATTAATTTTCCAATATTCGTGTATTCTGTAGAAATGTGTAAATGTTTTCCTATAATTATATTATCTTTTATAACAAAATCCCGATCATTCTGAAATAGTCAATTTTACAAAGATTTATAATAATTTTTGATTAAAAAAAATATAAATAAAATAATATTATTATTATTGATATTTTATTTTAATTTTTTTTTTGTTTAATTTGTATCACTTACGGTATTTGATATATTGATCATGTTTGATGATTATTATACACCTTTCGTCGAATATGCACTCACAATTATGTTACAACTGCTTCTTTGCGTTTAAAATAAGAGCTGCAACAAGTTTCGATACAAATATGTATGTGGCTAGTTCTCCAAAAAAATCGAAATTGATGTCCTTGATCATTTTTATAAACCTGGATCGTTAATTATAAAAAGGTTTTTTTTTTAATAATACGACTGTACTTGATCTACGAATGTATGAAACAAATTTATTTTTTATATGATAAACAACAAAGATATGTCCAAGAAAGTACCCTGAAAATCATTCCCTCACTATGTCCCAAGCGCTAAATTTGAAGATAATCAATAACTTAAAACGTAAAATTCCCTACAAATTGTTTATTATCATATTTTTTACTTATATAGTATAGTATTGACTATACCTATATAAGTTCATAGTTTCATAAATGCGAATGGAAATATTTTTAAATATAGTTCAAAATTTTTCCTTAAAAATAGTATCATTCCCTCACCGTTTTGTAACAGTGTGATTGGAGCAATACTCCAAGGCCTACCAAATCCCACTTTAACTTTTTTTGTAGTTAGCAACATTGCCATTGAGAACATACTCTAAAATGGACAATTGAAGAAAGGATGTTTTCTTAAAATCAATTTGATAATAAGTTTTTTGAATATTACATTTTTTAACGTCATTCCCTCATGTAATGTTATCAAAAGGTAAGCATTTTTTTATTTAATAATCATAGCATATTTTTATATTTGTTCGGTAGAAATAAAGTACTGTTTACAATTCGTAAGGAAAAAAGGTTTATTTTCCTAAGTTTATAGCAATTTTGTTTCGTTTCGTCATTCCCTCATAAAATTTTTTAATTTTTTAAAATATTCTGAGTTCAAAGTGTCCCTTAATAATGCTTATTGAGGTAAGTACAGCGGAAATCAATAATACGGATAACTTGATCAAAAAATCTAAGTCTATTTCAACTTTTCCTGGCACTCAAAAAATCAGACAATTTGTGTTCTCAAATGATGTGCTTGAATTTAGAACTCTATCTTGTTTT